AGTCGTTGATATTCTATCGTTTTCTAAAAAGAAAAGGATTTTTGATCGTTTAAAACAATGTTTGAAATTTATAATCTTCTAGTTCCTCTTTTTCTCCGATCAAAATTAGGACTGAGCAATGTATATCTTAAAGTATTTCGGTTATTTGTAATCGGCCAGTTGGCTTATTCATAATAAATAACTTTCAGTTTTTATGATAATGTTTCTGTTCGTTTACGATTTAATATTGTTTTCATCCATGTCTATCAAACAACTGAATCCTGGCTTGATGGTGTGATAAAGTGACAGTTTGTTTATAATATGAATGTAAAATACGATCACGTGTATTTAATTAATTGACCTGAACATGATGGATAATAAAGAAAAAAAACGAAAAGAAAAAGAAAAAAAAGAGATAAATAGATGAATATTTTTGATAAGCATTGAATGTAATATGTCGCCTCTATTGGTCATAGATTAATTTGTTATATTGAACGATTATTGTTTTCACGTAATAATTTTTTTGTTCTAGATATAAAACATATTCTAAATGCGACATAGATCTCGGACTACTAATTAATTGTATTGTAATTGTATGTATGTCCGATCACCGTTGGACGTTTTTCTTTTTCTTCTTTTTCATATTCTTTGATGCTAGATGATGATGTTGTTGATGTTATTTATGCCTAGTGGTCATATAATGTATCAAATGACCTTTAATTTTACGCAATTAAAACTACATCGATAGAAGGTAAAGGCAATGATGCATATGAAAGATGATTACAGTAAGTTAAAATTTGTTTATTAAATAAAATTTTCAAATACTAAATCCTATAAGAAATAGAGATATTTTTTAGTGTCAACTGGCACATGTTGGCACCAGCTTGTAAATTCGGTCCTTTTTTTTTTTCTTTTGTTTTGTTGAAAAAGTTAATCTCTTTGTATATACTTTTCTATATTATTCTTTTTATCGTGTCATACAATCCGATATAGACGATTTAGGGTTTTTCGCACAAATTATAATATGTATTACTGGTTTCTGATTTAAAAAAAAAAAGAAGAAATAAAAAGAAAGAAGATCAATATATTTTATTTTCCTCTATTGTGGAATATACCCTTGTCAGAAGCTGTTTCTTTCTATAAGAGTAAAACGTGTATGATTTATTAAAAAAAAAACTCAAAGTAAGCTATCAACGTAAAATTTTTTCTTCTTCTTCTTCTTGAAATCAGTGAAAATCAATTTTTAAATTTGACTTGTTTTTCGTATGTGTTAATAAACGGAAATGTCATTTATTTTGTATACAATTCTAATCAAGTTATTCAATTGAAGATTATAGTCATGTAGTAATAGTAGATAGAAATAAAGAAAAGTCATAATTTTCAATTGTGCGTTATTTTTCAAGTAAGAGTTAGAATATATGTAAATTATCTCGATATAATCCATTGAGTAATTATTTGTTTATACATACGTGTAAAGAATTTAGAACAAAAACGAAAAATATCAATAATTTTTCACATAAATTAGTCTTAATATATACTATGGTTTTTTTTTTTGTACAAATTTGATTTTATATTATCTAATTCTCTTTTATTTATAAACACCTTTGCTTATATAATCCTTGAATATGAAAAGAAAAAAAGTGGTCCTTTAATTAATTTTAAAGCTAAATAGTGTGTGTGTGTCTATTTTGATGTTTTACTGGAAAATTTTAAATAACAAAATGTCGAGATTCAAAACAGTAACTGATAAAAAAAGTATGTTCATAATGAATTTTATGGGGTTTTTTTCTAACTATAATTATAGAAATGTTTCAATTTCTATTGTCATATTCGTTTTTAATTTTCATTTTTCTTACTACTTTTCTACATAATAATCATTATCGAACTTTCTGTAAAAAAGAAAAAGAAAGAAACACTTTGCTTAAGAAGTGGTAAAATGTTTGTGTTATCAAATTTAATTATTGTTTGATTTAAGGTAGAAATATTTTTTCAATGAAAAGTTGAAATTGTCACCTATTTCCTATAGTATCGTTCAATTTTCACACATCAGGATAATAGTAGAAGAAGAAGAAAAAAAAAAAAGAGTTATTATAATCGCAAAAAAAAAAGAAAAAAGAAAAAAAATTTTACTTTCAAAAAATAAAACATAAAAAGTACGTTGATTACTGTTTGCACGCGAGAACACAATATCATAAGACGAGTAGAACATATTCTAAGTTAAAAAAAGAAAGTAGACACATATAACTAGAAAATGTTATTAATAACTTTGTCACTTATTCTAAATAGATTTAGTTGAATATGGTTGTCTAACTAGACACTTTTCATTCTTTTTTTCCCATAGTAGATCAATCGACAAGCGATCATTACAATTACTAAGAGTCTATGTGAAAATGAATATTATTATCTTTTTAACTAATGCAAATTAGAAAACAAATTTCGATATTTTGGCAATATCGAGAAAATTTTCATATATCTGATATAGAAAACAAGCATTGAAAGACCTTTTTATTTATATTTCTTATTTTGAAAAATGATATATATTTTTGTTGTTGTATTAATTTTTGAGCTTTTTTTTGAATTTTTTTCAGTTTAATAATTAAACTAAACTCATCTTCATTTTTTGTTCTATTTTACCGTACCATAAAGGTAAAAATCACTTAAATGATCTCTATAGTTAAAGTAATATTTTTTTATTTCTTCCAGCTCTACATATTGAAACACATATATAACAACAAAACGTTTATCTCTAATGCGTTCGTTATTTGAGGTAATTGTTATATAAAAGTAGAAATAGATTATACGAAAAAAATAAAGGCCCCTTCTAACGTTTTAAAATTCTTTCAAGCAAACTTCCGCTTTATTTTTGAACTTCAAAAAGAGAAACTAAGAAGAGAATAATACATTAGGGTTTTTTCTTTCATTTTTTGATTATACCTTTTTTTTTTTTTTTTTCACCCATTAAAATCTCTCTAGAGCAGCTTTTCTTAAAACGATGGTGTTATTACGTGTACTACTTCCATTTATTTTATTTTTTTTTATTTTTCACTTTTTTTTTTTTTGAATCCCGAACCTATTCTATATTTGATGTGATCCCTTTGTATAGCAAGAACGAACGAAGAACAGTTCTCATTCCGCATGCTAATCATTCATACGTATCACTCATCATTATCATCATCATCATCATCATCCACTTTCTTTCGTCTCTTTGTAACATACTTACCTCAATATAGTCGATCCTTCTTTCAATCTATAATTCTTCTTTTTTTTAAAAAAAACTGAAAAATAATGCATCCGTATGTCAACTTAAGTTAAAATGCTTCTGTTATAATTTTTTTTTTGTACTTTATTCATTTTATTCTAAAGGCATGGGCATCAGCCCGTTCTGTTGATGTTCTTTTTTGCGATCTTCATTCTCTCTATTCCATTCTATTATTCAAAATCGTTTCTTCTCTTCTTAATACTCGTTTTTGTTAAAATAGTTGTGCTGATGTGTTGAATAAAAAATTACTTTTTTTAATCTCAATTAGATCATTTATCATGCATTGATCGACAAGACGAAAATGATGATTCCATTGTCGTTCAATCAAATCATGTTTAATACACGTAAGTGAAAAGATTATGGTTGTATCAAGTGGATTAATTTATATATTAAATAAAGAAAGAATATTGATTACTGTACCCTAAAAAGAAAGAATAGTTTGTCTTAGAAAGATATTAGTCATACGTTGATTTTTTAAATTTTGAATTATAAACTAATTTCTATGATTTTTTTTCTCATCTGGATTCATTCACACTTTTCAAACTTGAATTATTAGTTCTAAAGACTTGAATACACATTATCATCATTCAAAGGTATTTGCTCTATTTCAACTCATATCATAAATATGTCAGCAAAAAAGCTCTAGATGTTGTCAACGGTGAAAACTTTTGTATAACATGAACCAGTTTTAGGATCTCCACTATTAAGACTTTGGTCACACATATTCGAGAAATATTGTTACATTGTAGAAAATACTTTCTCCGTATTGTTAAAGCTCTCTATAATCTATTCTTTTGCATTGACTGATGCGCGCGCTATCATCAATCGTACAGACATTTTAGGTGAAATAGAAAAGTCATGAAACTTTTTTTATAGATATTATCCATCAAATTTTATTTTTATAGACGTGGAGCCCAGCAGCACAATTGAAGGTAGGGTTTCTTTATTTCTACGACATGGCAAAAATATCAACACCTCTTCGTTTCGTTTCATCTTTTCTCTCTCTTCTTTTTTTTTTTTCACAAGTCTAATACAATGGGTATAATATCGCGCATTCAATTTTTATTGGGTGTTAGTTATTTCATATTGAACGAAGAGCCAAAACATATATATATATATATGCACTAAAGATACACAGTGTAGAAAAAAGAAATTTTTCTACTATAAGAAAAAAATATATGGTTAGTTACTAATCATCACGAACAGTTGCTCATCATTTAAAAATGAGTTGAGGCGTTAAGTAATTCGATACTATCAGTTCTATAAACTATAAAGTATATTCTAATCAAAGGATAAAAAGAAGGAGAATGATGTACAACATCAGGAATAAAATAAAGTAGAACAAGACAAAATGAATATGATGAAAAATAAAAAATTAAATTTGTTTTACTAATTCTTTAGTATAGACATTGAAATATATGAATCTTTATGAAGTGTTACAGTATTATCATTAGCAGAAGATTGAATCAACAAATGTTTATCAGTTGAAATATGATCAATACAATTTTTTTTTACTATAGTTTCATTTTAATGTCTAAGAAACCTGTTTAAAAAAAATAGTCATAGTTTTTAAAAAATGACTTGTTTCTTTTTCTAAATTCTATAAAGCGCATTATCGATTACCGTTGTATGAAGGAAAACACAATCTTTCCTTTTTTTTCTTCGCTCAATAACATTGCAAATAAAATGTATCTTTACAAAGACGAAGAATAAAAAAAAAAAAAAATTAGTAACCTTGTGCAAATATATTATGTTCGTTAAAATGTCACTGAGTATGTTGTATTCTATTATGTATGTAATGTCTATTAGTTTAGATTGTTGACATTAATGATAAATAAAGATTCCATTTGATACTTCTGAGAAGACTTACTGATTTTTATATAGAAAAATGGACTTTTTGTTATCTTCTAACTTCGATTGAACAATTTTGTTCTTTGTTAACATGTAGAGATGCACTAAAATCCAAACTTTTATATTAATTTCAACTATAGTAAAAATTTAAAATTTGGGTTTGATACATCTCTATTTGACACATGTCTATAGACATTATAATACAAAATATTTTCAATTTTAAAAAATAATTTTGTACATAGCTATTTAGAGGATTATAATTTTCTAATGATAGTATTTAACAGTAAAAACAAAATAAAAACACACACACACACACACACACACACAGAATAAAGATGACTCATTTTTATCAAAATAATTTATAGAGAAAAAGTTTTATTGGATAAGTAGATGATATCGTGTAACCAATGAACAAAATATATTTTTAGTTTTTCTTATCCGGCATATACTTTATCATTACCTCTTCAAACACCTCTATCTTTATTCTATATTTACCCCTACCATTTTACGCTTGGCTAAATTACCTAATGCAAGCAATCTAACGTAAAGGAATTTGTGAGGCGATGATTGATATCTCATTCTCAATAATCACTTGAAATAAAATATATACGTCTATGTACATACATATTGGTAGAAATTATCATCAAAAAAAAAAAAAAAAAAAAAAAAAAAAAAAAAAAAAAAAAAAAAAAAAAAAAATAATAATCATACAGAAATATTGATGGTGTCATTGAAGGTTTTTTTTTTTGTAATAAAGAAGAAGAAGCGAGCTCGGTTTCGGTTCAGTAAAATTGAAAATCTTGGGTCTTGTATAAGCATCATTCAATAGACAATACGCACATACACGCACACACACACACACACATCGATCGAAATGGTGTTACGAAATGATACATATTGACATAAATATTTACTAAATGGGTGATGATGGGTGATAAATAATAAAATGATAATGATGACGATCACGATAATGATAAAGATGAGAAAGTGATTGGAAAAAAGAATGGTTTACTATTGGTAGTTTTCACTCCTTTTTTTTATTATTATTGATATTAATCAACGTCTTTTAATGTTTCTTTTTTTTTTGCTTGCATAAACGTGAAATAGATCACCGAAATACCAATCATCTAACAAAATGTAATATACTTTTTTCTTCTTCTTCTTATTCTCTATTTCTTTTTTAACCAAGAAAAAAAAAAAAAAAGGATTTGTTAATTGAAATAAAAATGATGTTCATTGACTAAATATCATTTTACTGTACACATGACTTTTTTTTTATTATTATTATTGAAATGATGAATCAATACCTATAACCGAATTTTCTTATATTCATTACCATTCTATTTTTTGTTTATTTTGAATGATTGTTGTACAAGAATGATGATGCTATCCAGACGTTTGGATAAACTATCAGCAGGTTAGAGAACATTTTTTTTTTTAATTATGTTCCATTTAATCGAATTCTTCTTTGCAAGTGTGAAAAAATGAAAAATAGGTTGGTTTCTAGGAGAATTGTACTATCGCAATAGATAAATGAATTTTAACTTTTTTTTTCTGCTTATTTCTAAACGAGATCAGTGGGTCAATAACCGTTCATTTCTTCATGTTCATTTATTGTAATTGCAATGATTAATAATAATAGAAAATTGCTTTCTAATTAGAAGAGATATTAACACAATTCTAACGAGAAAGAGAAAAAGAGGCACACAATTGTTTTTTCTCCTCATCTACTTTAATAAATTTTAAATACAAATATTGAATGAATATCATCAATAGTCAATAGAGAGGCACATCTATTTACGAAAAATTAGTATGACGATTGACTTGACAGTTTTTTCTACAATGTCGATACACGCGTAGTGTAATGGAATAGACAATTAATTTATTATTAATCATTCAATCGAATATAAGAATACGTTCAATATGACATGGAGTCTTATTTTTAATTTTATTTTCTACAAGTAATATAGTCTTATTAATATCAAACAAATTTTTCTATAATAATTAACTAGTATATATATCAAAAAATATTTTATAGAGCAAACGATAGATGTGTCAATAATCAGTAGGTAGATATATATATATATTTTTTTTTTTACATCAATAATTGATAGTACATTCTCTTATACTTTTTGTTTCAACAATTCATTATAAATAACTCACAATTATTACACAGTTAACATTTTTAGTTTTTATTGAAAATATATCGACTATTTTTAGGTCTGGCGTTAAGTAACAAATATTTACCAGTACATACTATTGTTGAGAAAGATGATGTTAAAAATGTTTTACAAGATGGATTTGTTATTGTACCAGCTCAAACAAAATTTCGTGATATTGTGACAGTTGTTTTAAAAACAATGGAAGGTGATATTGGAAAACTTGATGATGAAGATGTCGTGGAAGGTAAAATGATCTAAAATTTATGATATATATAACATTCTTGTATAATATATTCTTCTAGGTCAAATTTTGATAAAAAATTGGAATCCATTACCAGTATCAATTGTCACAGAGAATAAATCGGCTACTGTACA